ATCTCAATCTTCCTAATTTATACTTAATAATATAATAAAAAAAAAAACCGCCCTTTTAACACGCATTTTATTAATTTTACAATTTTTTTTTTTTACGCACGTGTTTGGAGATTATTTTTTTTAAAAATTTATTTAAAGCTTGTATATGGCATAAAAGTCCCTTAATGATTATCTTTTGACAAAATCCTATAGACACAAACGTATATTATATACAATATAAGTATGTATTTCGTAGACACTGTATTATTATACTAGCGTGAGTGATGGTATAATTATTGTATTTATTAATTTATGTACCTATCCTATTTATTATATGAAATTCTGCTATTCGGCTAATTAGATGGTATGTAATGATAATAATGATATATAATTTATATTTCTAGTAATACGAACCGAGTTATAAATAAATTGTAGAAGTACGATAATGGTGTATCTAATTATATAATTCTAATGTAATACACTCGGGTATGTTACGCTTAAAATATTAACGAATGGAAATATTAGCAAATAAACTGGGCTCCAATTTTATACCATTATAATTAATTATTGTTTACTTCATTATGTGAGACCATAACTGCCAGAGCAAAATTATATGCATAAATATGTTGCTTATTGTTTAGTATAAAAACAAAAAAAAAAGTAGAATATTTTTGTTTTTGGTTATTAAGTATCCTGCTCGTAGTTTTTTTCATATTGTTTACACCGTATACAATTAAAAAAATCTATTGGTTTTAATTTATTTACCAAGAAGTTTGTATTTTCCTCAAAATATGGTTTACAAAGTTAGCTCTCCTGCCTCGTTGAGATGTCTGATTTTGATGTATTTTAGATTCTAAGCGTAGTGAGAAATATATTGGTTTAACTTTAGATAATATGTGCTTTTTTTTTGTTAACTACTTTTTAACCAGAAATCTTTTTCCAATCAAAAAGTGACAAGATAGCGTTTTTAAGCATTCGGTATATATATATAATTAGTGCACTGTGAATGTCATTTTTTGATTTTTCAAAAGTTTCATTATTTTAGATTTTGTTTTTTACCAACAATTATGATTCGAAATTTTATCTTGTTCGTAAATTAGGAGGTCGGTTTCCTATTTGTTTTATTATTTGCTTTGTAACAGTTAACTCGGAAAAAACGAGAAAGTTTACTGAATAAACGGTTTCATTTTTTTAAATTATCTTTTTATTGTATTGTCATTTAGTTAGTGTAATTTGACCTTATTTATGCGTGGTAAATTTATGTAAAACATTTTGGCGATATCTGAGTTATTTTTAGGTATTTGACATTTTCAAGTTAAGTTTTTATTTGGTTTTATATGCATACAATTGTTCTGGCTTATTAGGAATGTATGTAAATTTTACACGAGGTTTACCATAAGTTATATTTAATGATAAAAATAGTTTAGCTTAAATCCGTAATGTAGTAGCTTTTTTATACACGTGTTTAAAGTTCTAATTTAAATGGTAAAAATCATATCATTCGCGTTATATTTTTCGATTTACTTAAATATAAATTTTTTGTAATGTCAAAATGTTTGAATAATTTACTCCAAATTTATCATAAGTTGTATTTGATGTTAAAGAAAAAAAAATTAAATGTAATGGAGTTTTTTAATAGGCATTTCAAATTCAAATGTTGACGAAAATCTTAAAAATTACGGCTTTTTAAAACATGTTTAACCGAACTTCGCTCAGAATCGTATGCCATCATTAATGGTTTATCGTTGCATAAATACATAAATTGAATTACTACACATATTATTACTTATACATTTCTATCTTTCACCTATTTTAGATAGGAAAAGGACAACTTCTTAAAGGGCGTATTGGACTTCGATTTTTGATTATGTAACCAAATAAACCACAAAGATAAACAAGACCTAAAAAAATATAAATAATTGATTACATTCAAACGCTTATCATAATCACATATCGTTTGGCAATGAAATTTTTAAAATTCAACTCCCACGTTTCATGTAAGATGTTGTAAAAAAAAAAAAATATGGACATACTTCACAAGAAAACCACTGTTGTATGTGAAAAGTTAAAAAGGTATAGGTAGAGAGGAATTTAATGTAAATTTGTACCCAATGATTAATCATTGCTAACGAAAAACGATTCTGAGTGGAGTTCGGTTATACATGTTTTAATAGGCCGTAATATTTACAATTTTTATCTAAATTGTACATTAAAATTACAACCAATTACGACTTATATTGAACCTCTTATACATTTTTTAAGCATTTTGGTTTGGTTTTACAATTTTGACCACAGAGTAACTACCGAATAAAAAATTATGTGAAAAACTTGAAAAATTTAAATGTCTTTAAATAGCTCATAAATGGCTAAAACCTTTTGAAAATTATACCGTGTCTAAAAAAATCAAATATAAGTTTTATGGCCAAATTTCAAGTGTTTACGAATATTTTTAACTGAATCATAACAAAAACAAAATTAAAAAAAGGTGTTTCGAAAAAGGTTCTACTTGAAAATCGGTGCAGGATATCTGGCTTCGCGTAATAAATATAATTTAAAATAAATGTTTGTGTTCTGAAAATCCGCATTATCGGACTTCGGCACGTCCGGATTTTTCCACCGCTAGTGTTTGTATATATTCACACGGCTAGAGGCAGTACCTCTTTATAAATAAGGCTATACATCCGAGTTTCGTCCCAATAATATTTATATGAAAAAAAAAATTTATACCTATTCTACCCGATTAAAAATGTTCGTATCAATGTTAAAATACATAATGTTAAATACAACAAATTCACAAATAGTTTATACTTTAATAAATAAAAATTTGTTATTGGATTAAATGTATATGATTTAAAAAAATAATAATTTATGTAGACATTTTTCTTATCAATGTTAAAATACAGAAAAACTTCAAATAATATTAAAGTATTAATGTATACAAATTATATTATTTAGTGTGATAACCGAAAGCAATATTATCTTTATTTTTAATTAATGCAAATAATACAATGTTATTAAATTGGATTATTTAGTGGGATAACCGAAAGTAATATTATCTTTATTTCTAAATAATACAAATAATCCAATTTAATAATTGGATTATTTAATGCGATAACTGAAAGCAATATTAGTTTTATTTTTAAATAATATGAAATTGTTACCGCAGTCGTAAATTGTATTTTATATATTACATTTGGCGTAGAAAACGCAAAACGGGACGGAATTAGTAGATTCATTTTCATAAAGTGCGTGCAGGGTGTACTTGAGCACTTTGACATGTGACAACTGCAGTAGGGTACAAGTTTTATATTTTGTAAATTTGCCCTCACTTTATTTTTCCTTAATTTAAAATAATTATTAGTTCGTACATTTCGACTTCACTGCCAATTTCGTTCTTATTTTTTACGACTGTGTTACCAAATATACTGGCCTGATTGTAATTGTCCGAGTTATTTATTTATAGACTATGATTGATACCTATTACAGAGAAACTTTTACTTTTTCAAAGCGTATGGTATTTAATTAGGCAATTGATATAATTGTGAAAACCAATTTAAAGACAGTGTATAGAATTAATCATTATTGTTTTATCTAGTACCGAAAGGTAATAAAAGTTGATTGGAGAGGGAGGGGGGGATTCACCTAATAAATTAATTTTTCTCGGGCACGACCCGAACTTAAAGTCTGCGCACGCCTATGTCCATTTTAAGAACCCGGGACGGAACTTAAGTGTAGCCTTAAATTCAAATTTTACGTTTGGGACGGGACTCGGATGCAGCCGTAAATAATCGCCACTGCGGTATTTACCGCGGTTAGTTAAATACAAGTAAAAACGTTACGGTATTTTCTGTTTCACACGGAGGTGTTCGCATTGACCGTGTTCGTTACAGTATTACGGCATTATGGGTGTAGACGCCATTAGACACACGCGCGCGTGCACAATAATAATGATAGTAATAGTATGCGATCATGCAGTCATTATTGTGGGTGTCTGTCTAGCGCGCACAAAAAACGAACGTAATTGCGATTGTATTATTCGCGTATTGTGTTTAGAGCGGAAAAAAAAAAAATCAGTGATAAATTATAGTTTATACGCCCTCGGACCGTCGTTCGTATCGGGACGGATGGTTTCACGTGGCGCGATAACGTCGTATTCGAACGGACGGAAAACCGTGGTCGGATTAATGCGACGGCGATGAACGTAATTGCTGCGCGCGCGCGCCGGGATCCGTCGGAAAACGGAACGGATTGCCCGATTGCCGACAAATTGAACGCGGACGCGTATTGAAAACAATTTCGAAAAAATACTCGCGGCGGCGCCGAGTGACGCGACGATGTACGTAGCGCAGCAATGGTGCCGGCGGTGCACTCGGCGGTGCAAGCGACGGTTACGCGCGCGTGCCGCGAGCGGTGCAGCGTTTATCACACACGCACGCGTTGCACAAACCGTTCGCAGCACACGTGTACGCCACGGGTCGACGTTCCTGTTATTATTATTTTTGTTTTTCAAATAGATACCTATTTTTCGAAGATCCGGGCGCGTTGCGATTTCCGAGCGCGCGTTACTATAGCCACGGTTAGGTTATTATTATTATTGTTATTATTATTATTGCCCGCGAGAGTACGTCCGTGAATCGTTATCACCGTCATTGACGCGTACACATATTATGTATAATAAAACGTGTAATAATGTACAATACACGACGTGCACGTCGTATAATATTTTACGACTCGTAAAATATACAACGCACGTGCGTAATGTATAAAATAATAATAAAAACATTTCGTATATTATAATGTTATTATAATATTATTTATAAACGCGTGCGAGCGCGCCATATCCGTCGTCGAACGCGCGTGGTTAGCGCCCGCCGCCGCCCTCGCATTATCCCCCGAGTGCGTGTGCCTGTGTGTGTGTGTGTGTGTGTGTGTGTGTAATGTGTACGAACGTCGACGGCGGCCGCCGTATCGTCGTCGGTTACCGCACGACCGGTGCCAGTGCCTACTCGCGGTCGGGCCGCCGCAGTGCAGTTGTAAAATGCCGTTGTGCCCGTCCGGTCGGCGTCGCGTATTATTCCGCCGCAACACCGACGACTACGCGTCCGCCAGTTGTTGTAACAGTCGTAGCGACACCGGTCGCAGTAATAGTAGCGGTGCCAGTGCAACTGCAGTCCGTCAGCCGCCGTCGTAGCCGTGTAGCAGTAAGGGGGTGCAGCGCGTAAAATGGCGGCGCCGACGACAACCACCAACAGCACTGCCATCAACGCCGCCGCGGACCCCGGCGCGTCGCCGGTCAACGCCAACGCGCCTTTGACGACCGCCGCCGGCGCTGCAGTTGCAGCAGTTGCAACGGCGGCAACTAACGTATGGCCCAACACCAGAGACAGTTACGAACTCCGCGAAGTCATCGGTAAAATTCGCCTATACTCGTATACCAAACTATTATAATAACGTTTCGCGCACTGTAACAGCCCAGTACGGACAGTACACACGAGAATTATAATAATAATAATAATGACGATGATAATATACAACGTTGTATGACCGGTAGTACCTATGGGTTTTCGTGATCGAAATCGAATTATTATTATTATTATTATTATTAATATTCCACCGATATATTCCCCCCACCGCGGTCCACCAGTCGACTAGCGTGCGTTTCCCCGTCGGGCCCCTTCCACGCCGTTGACGTTCGACCCCCCACTGCTGCCGGTCACGACACCGGTTGACATTTTAAAATATTAATGATATGTGATTTTTTTTTTCCTATGTTTGTTATTATTATTATTTTTTTTTCTTTTTGAGGTTATGTAGCTCCAATTTTTCACAATAACAAATAATTGTTATCGGCTGTTTATTTTCGATAAAACCCGTACTCGTAAACGCTGAACACGCATGTCGCGATGCGACAATTTTTAAAAGGCTCCGTGGTTAGCAACGGAGTAACAATAATTGTTATTATTTTCTTCGTCGGTTTACCGGTTATTGGTTAGCAGCAGCTGTTGGTACACCTTAGGGCCTATTCCCGTCACTTTTCGTGTTATCAATCGGCGTCAGGTTAGATAGCAGCCAGAATCTAGGTGTATTTATGTTTTATCTATTTATATAAATACTCATTGGCCGGAATTTTATTTTCGATTTTCTATTGGATATGTATGTGTTGTAGAGTTCACACACTGGAAATCCCTTGGATCACGGCAATAATGTCCAACGGTGTGACGATCCAAGGAAAGCACAGACCTACGAAATCAGTTGCATGATTTACGCATTGCGATGGTTTTTTTGCTTCGACAATACCGCAGAGTGTGCAGTGTGCCTCTTGCTAAAGTTCGAGCGCGGAATAAATAATATGTTGTAAACGTTAAATAGCGGTTTTAGTAAGGTCGCGCGAAAAACACGTAACGTCCAAACAACCGTCCAAGCGATTATCTCGTTTCGGTTTTAATGGCGCACAAATAACAGTAGGCACCCGGTATGCCCTTAAATCTTAATCTACGAATTTCTCTAATCTAAAAATGTGCCAGTATTGCAGTCTCGCCTATCGGTGAAACGTAACGTGCCGTTTGCACGGTCCGGCGCGATGGCCGCAATAGTGTTTTTTGAACAAAACAATGTAACTACAACAACAATATTGTTTGTTGTTTGCGTGTTTTTCGAACGTCTGAATACAGTCCTATAGTGCGTCCGGGTTTCTTAAAAACAGAGAAAAACAAAAAAGAAAAGAAAAGATTTTCGGGATAAAATTTAGGACAATATTATCTTAACTCGGATATACATACAATTTTACTATGTATACGTCATAAAAATAATCGCAATTAAGACTAACAATGCAGATTATCGCCAAAGTAAGGAATAATTTATTATTCGGGTATTTCCATGAATTGATTTTTTTTTTTGTGATACACATTTTATAGATTTCTGCAGGTCAAAGAATGACGTCCATATTGGTATGTCCTATGCATACATATTACATATTTATGTGTTTACGTTTTTAATATGGACGTCATTGTTATTTACTAACAACACTTTTAGATTCTTTAAGACTTCTTTTGTTGTAGTAAGGAAGCTTATTTTGTTTTACCAGATGGTTTTTTTTTCTATGAAAAATAATTTCGATTAGTAAAAATATTATTTCAGCCCGATATTAAACTTTTGAAATTTTCAACCGTTGCCCCTCTAGGTTTTTAATTTTTTGTCTTTTCTGCAGTTAGTAAAAATATTCCAAATTATTCGCACTGCAGGTATTTTAAAAGATATGGAATTTTCGCTTGAACATTCTTAATTTTCTATGAAATTTGAAAACTGATAACAAATACCTTGGTTTTATTTCTGTACTACTTCTGTTACAAGGGATAAAAACTACAAATAAAACTCTTCTCAGAATCTTTTTTTTAATTGTTTTGTCATATGTTGATTTCAGTAGATATATTAAATTAATTCTTATTAATTCTATACATTTCAAACCTCTAATCCATTACAGGGGCTTACAAATAGTGTAAAGGACGTCCAGCTTTTTGAAATTTAAATTGCATATAAGCTATAAATTGAATAACAGTTTTATAACTCATCTGTTAACTTGTTTATCTAGGTGTATAAGTATTTACAGTGTTTTTTAAAATACCATTTATTAAAAATGATAACAAAAATTAAGGATAGGTGCCTACATTGATATAATGACTATTTAAAATAATTGGTACCTACCTACTAGTCTCTTATCTTTGATTAGATAACTTAAGTTTTTAATGAATAAGTATACTTAACATATAGTAAAACACTTTTAAAAAAAATTAGAATTTTAATAATATGCTATGCAGCAAGCCAACAATTTTTCATGGGAAATAAGTTAACATAAAAAAATTGGATTGTTGATAAAGTTATCAACAATACAAAAATGATAAAATAATTTTTTTAGAGGCCAGAACATGCACAGGTACAATGATTTATGTAGGTATGCTAATGTTGTTTATCTAGGAGTTTGCTATTGTCGGTAAAATTAAATATAACAGAGAATGCTAATTTGTAAAATAATAGTTTGTTGACATATAATTAGCATAATTCTTCTTGCTTCTCGATAGGCAGATAACTATATAATATTAAACTATGTTTATAGCACTAAACTAATACTGATTATTTAATTATAGATTCTAAATTTAGGTATCTAGTGTCTGTTACCGATTTTAATTGAATTTTTATAATCCTTGGTTATTAAAAAGGATAGTTTAATTTACTTGTAACATGTTTTATATTTATAATATATTCAGTACCTAATCTAAGTTTACATAATATTTTATATTGATTTTAAATATTATTTAATATATTATATATCATCATGTAGTACAAACTACATAAGCAAGTATTCTTAATGGTTAGAATTAACATTTTTTAGGGGTGGGTGCCACGGCTACTGTACATTGTGCATACTGTAAACCTCGAAATGAAAAATGTGCTATCAAGAAAATAAATTTAGAAAAATGGAACACCAGCATGGATGAATTAACTGTAATTATACATATAATTATTTTTTTTTAAATGATTAATATAAATATAGCATTTATTTTTTATTTTTATTATGTAGAAAGAAATTCAAGCCATGTCATGGTGTCAGCATGAAAATGTTGTTACTTATCATACTAGTTTTGTAGTTGGTGATGAGTTATGGTTAGTATTACGTTTGCTAGAAGGGGGATCATTACTCGATATACTAAAACATAAAATGCGCACAAGTGATTGTCGTCATGGTGTTCTTGATGAAGCTACCATTGCAACTGTTTTAAGAGAAGTGTTAAAGGGATTGGAATATTTCCATTCCAATAGTCAAATTCATAGGTAATTCAATTAAGCTTATATACAGGGTGTATTACAGTGATCATTAATTTATATTTTGATTTGTAATTGTTTCACTCCTGTGCAATAACTGGAAATGTAAAACCTTTTTTTTTAATGGTTTTGGTAAACTCATATTAGCTATTGTTAGGTTAGTATATTGTTTTTCAGAAAAAAAATTAGTGCGTAATTCTTTTTTGTGGTTTTAAATTTCATTTTTATTTTCCATAACCAAAACCATGAAAGAATTTGCACTAAATAATAATATTTTCTAAAAATCTACTTAATAAATGGCTATTTTTAATTTTTAAAGAACTGAAGAAACAAAATTTTTTTTATATTGTATTTTTTTAATGTATATATTTATCTTACTAATTTTGTTTTTATATTTTATAGAGACATTAAGGCTGGTAACATTCTTTTGGGTGAAGATGGAACAGTTCAAATAGCTGATTTTGGAGTGAGTGCATGGTTAACAACTGGATATGATACAAATCGCCAAAAGGTTCGACATACATTTGTTGGAACACCTTGCTGGATGGCGCCGGAAGTCATGGAACAGGTACACACGGTAAAAGCAAAACATTTAACTAAAATTAATGCGATCGGTGAACACCGACTGCTAAGCTCGAAACCCTAAACCGTCCATCCAAAAAATACATTAGGATCATGGATATGACTTCAAAGCAGACATATGGTCATTGGGAATCACAGCCATTGAGTTAGCTACTGGAACAGCTCCATATCACAAATATCCACCCATGAAGGTTCTTATGTTGACTCTTCAAAATGATCCACCATCATTAGATACTGGAGCTGATACGAAAGACCAGTATAAAGCTTATGGTAAAACTTTTCGAAAGCTTATTACTGATTGTTTGCAAAAAGATCCTACTAAAAGGTTATTAAAAAAAAATACAAATTATTACTGTCATACTAAATATTAAACTATGTTTTTTATTTTAGGCCTACAGCAACAGAACTTCTGAAACACCCAATTTTTAAGAAAGCTAAAGATAAAAAATACCTTCAGTCTACTTTAATTGCTATTGGTCCAAGTTTAGAAACCAGAGTACAAAAGGTAGTCATTTTTAAAATTTATATAAAAATACTGTATGGATTGCAATGATTATTTTATTAAAAATGTTTCTATCCAGGCATCCAAAAGACAGCCAGGTACATCTGGCAGATTGCATAGGACAATAACTGGTGAGTGGACATGGTCATCTGAAGAAGAAGTTTCTGAACAGTCATCAGATGATGAAGTAAATTTATTAAATTTTTACCTACTATTATAACCAACTTCTTCCCCTTATTTCACTACTTGATTCTTCTTAAAAAAAAAAAAAAATGCATATATTTTTGTTGAATGTTTAATGTATTATTTGTATTGGGATGCAATAGCTTATCTTAATTTTATGAATAATTAAACTATGAATGGTACAAAATAGAATTCTGAATATTGTAATTATTATTTATAATTTGTATAAAATTATACATTTTTTTTTATTAATAACCCCTTAATGTGTAATTATTTTAGTGTCAGGAAAAACCATTAAATAAATTAATGGAAGTCCCACAGTCATCTGATAGTGAACAAGAAAGCGGTGATGAACATCTAAATCTTGTGCTGCGAATGAGGTTTGTCATATTGTATTTATTTTTAACAATTAAATATAATTTTTAGTAAATAATCAAAGTCCATAATCAATATTCATACCAAGATGACGATGTCAATATAAAACTAAGGGGAAAAATGGATCATACAGAAATAATTCTCTATAAGACATTTTTCAAAGATTTGTTTTTAATTACTTCTCAGAAGTTTTTATACATAAAACATTTGAACTTTTTTTAACCTAGTTATTACAAATTCAATAACTATCTAACTTCTCAACATTTCACCAGATAGAAATAGTAATCATAATAATTATATAACCAATTTAATAAAAGTTTTATATGTGAATTTTGATTATATGTTGAAATTACTTTTTGAACTAGTAAATCAAAATATTTATGTATATTTATTTGCATATCTATTCAATTGCCAAATCTAAATTTAATTTTTAAATAAACATGACTTTAACTGCTGTTTGATGTCATATTATGTAAATATAATTATATATTATTTTTGTTAGAAATCATAACCGCGAACTTAATGATATTCGATTCGAGTTCTTATTGGGAAACGACACTCCTGATGGTATTGCTACTGAACTAGTGGGAGCTGGATTAGTAGATGGCAGAGATGCGAATGTAATAGCAATGAATTTACGGGTACTGATTGGAAATCAATCTCGTGATAGACCAGTCACATTTTCTCTTGTAAGTATGCAAATATATTTAAGGTATTAAAAATTATTAAGGTATTAAATTATTTTTATCTCTTAGGTTTCTGGCTGTAGCAGTGATGAAACACCAGATGAGAAGATGCTTGTTGGTTATGCTCAGTTATCTTATGCTGACTAAATGCACAAGTTACTGAAACGATTTAAATACATCTTTTGTGCCACTAGAACATTTAACTCTGTATGTCTAAAATAAAATTGTGTGTATATATATATATATATTTTTTTTAAATAATATATTTATTTATTTTTGTACATAAAATCTTAGTTCATATTTTGAATAAAGATGTATGCTTTAGCAACAACAAGCTTGTGTTTAGTAAACTATGTTCCAGTGTACCACATTTTTATAGTCGTTACTTAATTACAAATAAAATTGTTTCATTATTATGCTGTTTTATTTTATTATTTTATTATTATCATATTTTTATTTAATGAAATATATGTTCTCAAAAAACTTTATAATTAATGTAGCTATGTTAATACTGTTGAATGACAATCCAACAACTATATTAGCAAAATATTTTCACAAAATGCATGATTATTTTTTTTCTCAATTTTCACTAGCTTGTAGTCCCTAAGACTTGCAATGCTAGTCGACCTAGTCAAATTATTGTAAAGTTCAGATTTTCTTTAATCTTAAAACTGTGTTGTTTTTAGATTCAAGTGCAAAATAGTTTTTGAAAGTGGAAGTTGAAAATTGCCAATATCTAAAGTTATGTGAGAGCAGGCAACTGAGCAAGTTTGAGTAAAAAAAATATGAATAGCGATTTACTCTATATTTCTGTAGGTCTTGTGTAACATTTGTGTACATCAAGTGATATTTTTAAATAGAGCTTTGCACATTTTATACAGAAGTACATCTTATTTAAATCTAAGATAAGAAATCTGAAAACAGATTTTAATTTATTATTATCATTATTGTTGTTTATTTTATATAACCATTTGAGATTATACCTTAAATTGTATTTAGCATAGATATACTACAATGCTTTCCTACTTATTAATTTGATTTAATTTTTCAAAATTTTAACATTTTGATATAGAATTTACAGTATAAATTTCAAAATTTTAGAAAAAATATTCAATTGTTTCTAGATTTGTCATCAATCATTGAGTGAATTTTATTCAATCGTTTAATTTACAAAAAATGTGCATATTTTAATAATAGAAACAACCTGGCTACAATCCTCTAAATTTAAGAGGTAAAATTATCATTAAACAAATAATTACAGTGAGATTAGTGAGATTAGGGATATAAAGGAAATTCTATATTTCTTTTATACAATTTACCTAGTTATTCAGCAAGTTTGGTAGTAGTTGTTGTTTAGATTAACATTATTAATAATTTGTTGTAAAATGTTTACAATATGACATTTATATTGAAGGAAACTAAAAATTACTAATGAAACCAATAAGAATTATTCAAATACATTTATTACACAAAGTAGGATTTAAATATTTCTAAGTTAATACTTTTTTTTTTGAATTTAGTGAAGTCTAAATTAATAAAAAAAACTTTAAAATATCCAATTTGGTTATATTATTTATTTTTAATTATTTAATTATCACTTTCTTATAACTGAAAAAAATAGTTTCATTAGTATAAAACAGCTCACCTATATGAAAACTAATTAAAATTGTTTTTTTATCTCGTGACATAAATATTGAGAGCTGGGGAAGCAAATCATAACCTTATCAGTTTTAAGTTACATTTATTGTTAATTGCATATCATAATTATTTATGAAAAAATTAAAAAAACAAATTTGAGCATAATAATTGTAATATTTTAATTGCTGTAGTTTTAGTGTTTCAATATATTCATAGTTTAATTCTTTATAACAATTTAATCCATAATAAATACAAAATATTGAACAGTAAAAACAAACTTTTTTCTTTTTATGACGAAATAGTATGCACAATGTTAGAGTTAATAATAATAATACTTTGTTTGCGATTTTTAAAATTGTGATAAATTACAGTCTTCATAAATTCCTAAATCATATTGTTCATTTTTACAAAATACTTATTTATTTACCCTGTAGAGGATCACCTATTTATTAAGTTAAGTTGATTGTCTAATTTCGGTTTGTATTTCAATAGTTTGGCATATTCGTGTAGCAATGATTCCCAATACCATGTTACGTCTTTCATTCTCAAATGGGTTCTGATAAAACGATACCCTTGCTCTGCAATTTCTTTGGCTAAATCATCGTGTTCTTTGAAGAATATTAAAATATTTCTATAATAAGACTAATATAAGTTTTTGTCTATTGTATTTAAATTTTATATTTGTATTATAAACTAAATTACTTAATATCTTTTTCGGATGCATTTGGATTTATTGGTACATAATGATACCATGGTTTCATAAATTGATAGAAAAACTCTTTCCAATCTTCTCCAACATGAAAAACTAAACTTTTACATAAGAAAAGATGTTTGAAACGAAAACTAGCTGCAACACCTCGAAAATTAAATAAGTATTTATATTGGCAATGGTCCTCTAATGATATTTCGTCTGCTGGTGGAGCATAAAGTGTGTCCTATAATAAATTTTATTGATTATAGTATACTAAGATTGTCTTTATTTACAGAATATGGTACCTTATCAGATTTCCATGCTTGATTTTTTGTATAAGCGGCATCCACAAGATGTGGTTCATTTCTCGATAAAAGAATGAGTGAATCTCGTTGTTCACTAGTTCTAGAACCTCGAAAAAAACCTTTAGTGATTTTTTCTTTCCACGGCCATTGTTCAGTTTGTTTCAAAATTGATTTTCTTATTGAGTCCCATCTACCAAGTCCTGATGGATGAAGTTTGATTGCTGGTCCACCACTCCAAAAAGACCATGCAGGATACATAATATCAGCATAATCATTTGTCTAGAACACGGAGTAATAGATTTAACAGTTTAACAGTTTACCAAGTAGGCAATCTTAAATTAAAAACATATTTTAAACTCTGAACTACAAAACAAATCTCACCTTACTAAAAGAAAAAACCGGTTTAGGATCACCATAATGTTTTATAATTTGAGGCCAATCTCTTGTATTTACAATAAACTCTACATCTGGAGTATTTAATTGAATTTTACTTAAAAAATATTCAATACCTTCACATCGTGCAGGAAACATACATTTTGTTTCTCTATATAAGTCATGGTTGAAAATCATATATCGAGTTCCTCTACATATAATAATAAAAACAATAATTGAACAGGAGAAACAAATGTAGGGTATATTACTTGTCAGCTGCTGCAATTATCATTTCATGAGTAATACCACTATTGAATGTTTCTAGATCATCTAGAATATTTGAAAAGAAACATGTTCCATTTTTTGTTTCACAAGGAGTATATTCTTTTTTAGCTTTATTAATTTTGTTAATCATTTGGTTGGATACTAAATACATATATATATACATTAATTAGTTAGGTATTTCAACATAAATCACTACTTTCAATTCTCCTTAATGAAATGTGTATCATAAATTTTACATTTTTATTTTTAAGGAAATTGAAAATAAATTTTGAACAAATAGTAGGTACAAATTATAGATTTTTATACTCACATTTGTCATACAAACTTTTAGAATGACCGTGGTCATGTTGGCATATGACAAAATTGAACAAATAAAATAAAACAATGTACAATCTGTACATAATTTAAAAAATACATTAATTTAATTGGAGATAAACAATTTTAAAATTGTTTTATTTTTCATTTACGATCTACCCTTTTACGGATCATTTTTCTAGTCCTATTTTTAAAAAGTATTGTATTACTAAGGTCATTAAATCATCTTCAGTTAATTTAAATATAAAAACTAATTTAAATTTTATATAAAATATAATATAAGACAAAACATTAAAAATTTAAATTATTTATTTATTCGTGAACTAAATAAATATTAATTACTATTAACTTGGTACTAAAAATAAAAATTACGAATAAAAATTCAGAATTTTAGTTTTATTCCAAAAAAATGTCGTTATCATTATCAATATTAAACGATATTAGAGGTTATAGGACTGTTATGAAAAAGTGTAGTTTCGTAGTGGTGGTAACCCCTGACTAAGTGTTGACTATACCACGATAATATCTTAGTTTGCGATTTGTATGTACTGATTATTGTTTACATGAAAAAATCAATAGTCAACTGAGCGTCCAAACTCTGAAGTAGAAAGACTCACACAGACACACATACTTTTGTTAGTTCAATAGCATTCACTAGTTATAGTCTTCAATTATATTGTTACATTTAATATTAAGATTTCGAACAAAATTGTTTTTAGTGTACTTTGTTACTTTTATTTAACGAAATAAGATTTTTGTTATCGATTTAATCGAATATATTCAATATGGGTGTACCAAAGTTTTTTCGTTACATGAGTGAACGTTATCCTTGCCTCAGTGAACTTGTTAAAGATTATCAGGTATGCATTTTATACTTAAATACATTAGATATTTATTATAAATGATTAAATCAAATATAAATATGTAAATAAAGAAAAAAAAAAAACTTATATCTTTAAATAAATACAGGTACTTATAAATATGGGCTCCTATAGGAGGCTTATAATATGTTGGAAAATTATGAAGCTGTAAGTTATATGTATGATAAGTTAAATGTAAGAACAGTTGTTTAATGTAATAATCATTACGATGAATTTTTAAAACTAAACATAATAAAATGAAAGAATTTACATAAAACAAAATGAGACAAAATTGAATATTTTAGGTATATGAAATTTATATTTCAGTTTTAGTAATCAAAAAAAAATTATACAAACAATGAACTATCATTTTGCTTGCCCTAAAGAAAACACTTTATTGTTGAGGCAAGCGATTTGTGGGATAGTCGGTATGTAGAACTTTTATAATAGTGACTTAAATTTTAAAGAAAATCAAATGCTTATTACATATTATTTGTTCAGAAAAACAAAATGATTTACGCCCATTTGTTAGAAACATAACTATATATAGAATAGTATTACTTTATGACTTTATGTTATGCTCAATGTTATAGAACATGTCTTATTGTAAACCACTCACCCCTCGTGTTAGTTTTGAGGTACTAGATAAAGTCTAAAATGCCATTCTGATTAAATAGTGTTTAACGTGAAATTTCACAAAAAATGTTATTCTGTTTACGAATCGGTCGAAAAAAAAAAAGAAAATGTTAATTGTTCTTTTTGTTAATAGATCCCAATATTTATTCATAATATGTTATTCCACAAAAATATATTCCTATAAATTAATGTTCTCAAACTCAAATTACCAACATGTCATATGTATACGTCAAGGTAGTGTGAAAAAATAACTATGGAAATTTAGTCTCCGAAAAATAACCCCGTATGAGTTTTGCCAAGGGTAATGTTAGTACACATTACGAATTATTGTGATTCTATTATATTTTACTATTGCAATAGGTAAAAATTAAAATTAATCTAAATTTAGTATTATACTATTATGCCATTGTATATAGTAAAATTTCTCACAAATAATGTTAAATTTGAGTTCAATGATAAATTATTGTGTACGATAAAAACGATTCAGAACAAAGACGGTCTGTCTGTCATATAGATCAGATATATAATAACTACAGACATATTATAATGGATAAGAAAGATTCTGATAACTTTGTCTTTAATGGTGTAATATAAAACACACTTCTCTCAAAATTACTAAATAACGAGATCAATGATTCATTTTTATTAAGTCAATTAAATTTCAAAGTAAATAACTACTATATTCCGCAACAATCATTTATTTTATATTCCTCATTCTTCTAAAAAGTATATATATATCAAACAATCCAATTAATATTTTAATTAGTACATTTATATGATGGCGTTAAAACGGTTTGAAATGAAACCATTTTTAAAATTTATTAAAACAGTTTAACTTAATATCTATTACACCCGTTTATATATCCATAATATTAAATCTGTTTAGTGAACATTTTTGTAAACTGATTTAAATTTAATTGTTTCTTACATAACTTGAATTTTGTTCCAAGAGATATAATAACATTTATCTGAAAAATTGATAGTATATTTGTTATTGTAATCTTAAATCATGTTTGTGAACTTACTTTACTTTTTGGATAATATTATAATTTAATTAATAAATTATATTATTATTATATTTTTGTTTATTACAAAACATTTTACTTATTTTTCTTCATTACGAAATGGAGACTAAAACTATGCATATAATGCCAAAGTCTGTAATAATAATAATAATAATAATAATATTGATTTGCCAAATTCATGAATAAATGAAAAATAATCGAATAATGTAATTTAATTATATTAACTAATAATGTATAATATGTAAATAGTAATTAGACATTTAAATATTTAATGGAAAAAAACAAACTAATAAGGTTATATATCCGTGTGATAAACCGTTTTAAGCGTTTAAAACGGTTTTAATTTCTTAAACTACCTAATGTGAGAGTTTTAATTTTGAAAACAGTTTGATATTTTTAAACCAGTTTAAAGTATTTACATGATAAGAATAAATTTTAATTTCGAACCGTTTTAACATAATCATATAAAATATGTACTAAATATTTTTTGGAAATTGTTAAGTATTTTAATAAAGATTGTATCTTTTGTATTATTATTATTATAATAATTATTCCATGTATTATTCTATTTATCTTTTATTGTGTGTTACCTTTTTATTTTAAATTATATTATATTATTGTTATTTATACTGATATTTAGTAAATTGGACATTGTCCATATGAATTTATTAGTAAATAAATTATAATATAATAAAGGGGGAATATTTCTAAAATTTGTAAATTTCTGTGTGGGTTCATTTATGTCTATTTAGTACTACAGTGTACTATATTATATATCATTTTTTTTTTTTTTTGCATATTATTATCAATATTTATTATTTATATGGGGTTATTTTTTCCGTGGTTTTTTTTTTTATGGAGACTAATTTTCCAGGGTTATTTATTATTCAAATTATACATATATAAGTCAAAGATTGTCGACCAAACCATTTTGTTGTGGACCTTCCCTGTTTTTAGATTCCGAGTGTAGCAAGGGAGCTATTAGTTTTACAATATTGTTTATTTCTTTTTCTTTCTGTGTTCTTTGTTATAGTCTGCACACATTTTTAACTAGTAAACTTGTTTTGATTTTTACGCGTAGTAACTTTTCTGAAAGCTCAAGTTGTTTAAATTGTATTTTTGACAAGTCATTTTTTGATTTTTGGTGCCATTTTTGAAATAAAACTACTTAAGTGGGAAAAACATAGGAAAACTTACAATTTCATGATTTCATTATTTTATAAAAAATACAGACGACGTTTTCTACCCGAAAAAAAGATTAAATCAAAATATCACAAGATACCTCTTTTGTTGCCTTTTTGATTTAATTTTGGACGATATCATCGCTTAAACTTTTGAGCCACTTCTGAGCTGTAAAGGAATTTTAATTATTGGGAGTTTTTTGCTGTGATTTGGTTATAAATACACATAGAGGCTTGAAACTGTGTTATAATATTAACATTGGACTTACCTAGACATGGTCAAATTTCCAAAATAATCTGATGACTTTTTTTTTTTTTTATTAAGCATTTTGAAATTTAAACGAAAATCGCAAAAAAAAAATACTGTATTACCGAACTGCGCTCAGAATCGTCTTTTGTCATGCAATGGTTTATCGTTGCTTACAGATATAAATGAAATAACCATATGTATTCTACTTTCCCAACTTCTTACCTACAACAGTGGCTGCCTCCATCCTCAGTATCAGCTTTTTATTTTTACTTTTAATACTAAATACAAAGTAAATGATACAAAATAGTATTAAAATATATGTATATGAAAAGACATTTATTTTTTGTTCAAACTACATTCCCAGACTAAGTATCTACATAAATGTTAGAATTCGCCTAAATTTTAAATTTATTAAATTTATCTTTATATATTATTTTTATTGCTTTATGATTATCATAAATGAATCTAATTCTTATTGATAATTTTTCCATACAATGGATATAAATTATGTCATGGCCTCTGGGTATTGATTATTAATGTTTCTAATAGAAACTTTATACTAAAAAAAAAAATTATTCATTTTGAACCAAAGTTTGGTTGCCAAACCAAATGACTACTTCATTTTAATAATAAAAATTTCCTCTAACCATAAAATGGGCTGTATTTAAGTATTAGGCCTTTTTTAAATGTTTTTCGTCACATCATATTTTTAGGACTTAGGTGCCATAACAACAGAATAATATAGTGGTATAATACTAGTGGTACTTGGATAGCTCATATGTGGTACGTTAAGATATTTTTTGATAAGTGAAAAAAAAAGTTATTAATTATAATGTAGTTTATTAATCCATAAATATTAATAAAAATAACCATAGACATATTTAATTTTACTTTTGTGTATTAAATGCTTATATAATTATGTAGATTTAATAATAAAACGTTCCATGCATGTAAAATAATGTTCACGTTTTATTTTTTGATAAGTAAAAAAATGTCAAAATGTGTTAATGGTACAATGATGTGAAATGATTGAGAACCTAATCTATAGTCGTGATTTCACCAAATGATCGTTTATCATTTTGTTTATCTGAACAAATTATTTATTTATTTTTAAATAATGTAAAGCATTTAATTTTTTTTAAAACTGAAGTCACTGTTATATTAGTTCTAAATACTAACAAGTTCTACAAATAATAATTCTTCATTAATATAATAAAAATTTGGTATGGACCTGAATTTGGCTCTGGAATATAAATTCCTTATAAAGATATAATTTTTTTAATTATTCTGTTTCATGTAGGTTCTTTTTTTTTATTATCATTTTTAGTTTTAAAAGTTCATTGTTATAATTATTATTACGTTAAATAATAAAATAATAAAGTAAAAACAAAATTATTAAAATGGTTTATACTTGTAATTAAATATATAAGTAACAAATTTATGTATAAAAATAAATTTTTCTTAATACATTTTGTTTTTTACATTATAAATCATCTATATTGATTAATATTTGTTTTGTATTGCAGATTCCAGAATTTGATAATCTTTATTTGGATATGAATGGTATTATTCATAACTGTTCCCATCCTAATGATGATGATCCACACTTTCGTATTTCTGAAGAGACTATAATTAAAAATATTTTTCATTATTTAGAGGTTGATAATATTTACTATAGTTGATAATTATATTAATTACAATAAATTATTGTATCTTTGTATTTTAGGTATTATTTCAAATGATTCAGCCTCAAAAATTATTTTTTATGGCTATTGATGGTGTGGCACCTCGAGCAAAAATGAATCAGCAGCGTGGACGTCGTTTTCGTTCAGCCACCACGGCTGCTGATCAAATTAAAGAGGCTGTTAAACGAGGTGAAACCTTACCTTCTGAAGATCGTTTTGATTCCAATTGTATTACACCAGGTACAGGATTTATGGCTCGTTTGCAAACTGAGCTTGTATATTTTGTTACCGAAAAAATTACCAATGACGCCCTATGGACTAAAGTACAAGTGATATTATCTGGCCACGAAGTTCCTGGAGAGGGTGAACATAAAATTATGGATTTCATAAGGTTTATGAAATCCTCTCCAGGATATAATCACAATACACGACATTGTCTCTATGGTTTGGATGCAGATTTAATTATGTTAGGACTATGCACACATGAGCCATATTTTTCATTGCTCAGAGAAGAGGTAATCTATTAAAATCTTGAAGTTTTTTTTATATAGTATCCAGATTATTCAGATGGTTTTAATTCAATTGAATTTTGTTTAAGGTTAAATTTGGACGCAAAACAAAAAAAGAAGTATCAGTTGACGAAACAAAATTTTATCTATTACATCTGTCATTAATGAGAGATTACCTAGGATTAGAATTTAATGAGCTCAAGGAGACTTTACCATTTGAATTTGATTTGGAATGTATTATTGATGATTGGGTTAGTTTGTTATTTTACAAATATTTTATTATTATAATTTATTTTATAAGTTAGGAATAGATTGTATTGTAATTACAACTTATTACTTATAAAAGTTCAATAAAAATAATACGAGAACTATGTAATGGTTTTCAATTAAAAACTTGAAACTTTTATAATTATAATTTTGAATAAATGATGACACTGTCTACCTTATATAATAAAATTAAATAATATTATTCTAATAACTTTAATATCTTTAGAAATTAATATTCAAATTTAAATACTTAATATTATTTGTCTTTTTAGGTATTGATGGGTTTTCTTGTAGGTAATGATTTTATTCCTCATTTACCTGATCTTCATATTTCAAAAGGAGCATTGCCAATATTATACAGGGTTTATATGGATATTCTACCTAAAGTAGGAGGTAATTGTGTATTGTCAAATATAATTATAAATTAAATTTTGTAAAAAGTAGGTACCATTTTAATCAATATTTTATTTGCACAACCTAACAAAGGTTTGGAAATTCTAGTATATGCTTATATTTTAGATTGACATTAAATCTAGTAGAGTGCTATAAAAATATATGTTTGTCACATTATAACAATGAGAACATGCAATTTTAAAAGTATGTTTCGGAGCATAGCAAGGAATGTATTGGTTTTAAAATAATGTATGTTCATTAAACTTTTTTCCCAAAAATCTTGCTCTAAGTGTAGCATGTTTTCTAAAAAGACATTTTTTCTGGATAGTACTTTAGAGAAGTTATTTTTTGATTTTCCAAGCAGTTAAATAATGAGGAAAATGTATGTACAAGTATAAAAGAAACTGTTTCAAATCGTTTTTTGTTTTTATCATTGCATAAAAATATTATATAAATTCCCCTCTATATTCAAACTTCCCAATTTCTCACCTACAACAGTGGCTTACCTATTGTGCGATGTATGTCAGTCTATTTTTTATTATTTAACAAAAATCCAGATTTGTCTATACTATGCATTTTAAATAATTTTTATTTTGTTAAATAATAGAGTACTATTATCCAAACTGTATCTGTTTGTTTTTATCTGATTTACTTGATTATCGCTGGGTATGAGAAAGTTTAAATCTGTGAGTGTAAAAAATAAATGATTATTCTTTTATAGAATTTGAAAGTACTTTTAGATTCTGAGCGTAAAATAAATATTAGTTTTTCTATGAGGTATGCTTATTTTTTTTTTATTTAAACAATTTTTCTACCAAAAATCTTGCTCTAAAATTTGATGAAATAACCTTTTTGTAGAATTTTGGAGATAGTATTGGAGAATAATTTTCATTATAATTGGGAAAAACTAAACAAATTTACAGCATTAAAAGTTTCATTATTTCTAATTTGGTTTTTATGTTGAACATTTTCAAGTAAAGCTTTTTTCTTAAAGGAAATGCTATCTTGTCCTTGTGTAAGAAAGTTGTTTTTTGATTTTTCATGTTTTTCACATTTAATAGTTACATTCATGAATTTATTAATTTATTTGTTTAAAATGTATACAATTTTTAGCATAATTGAATATTGAAAATATTTGTTACACATTATGTTCATAAATTCTTTGGTATAAACAATTTAATTTAAAATAATTAGGTTATTTGAATGAAAAAGGAACACTAAACTTAAAAAGATTTCAAACATTTATGGAAACCTTGGCCAATTTTGACTATGAACAGTTCCAAGATAATTATGCTGATATAAAATATTTGGAAGGAAAACGTGCATCAAATAATTTGCCTACTATCGAAGTTAGTATTTTTTATAATTATTACTTAATACATAATTTTAAAAAATACCTAATATAATTGTTTTCTAAAAATACACTTTTTTTTTTTTTAGAACAATACTAACAATTCTTACAATGATGAATTAGAACAATTAATTAAACAAACTGAAGAAGTAAGTTTTTCTTTTTTATTAAATAATTTTAAATTGTTTTTAAAATATTATTACTTTAGTCTTTGATCGGAGACAAAGAAGATGAAAATGAAGAAGATGCTATGAGATCAGAGTTTACTTCACACAAAGAAAATTATTACAGAAACAAACTTGAATATAACGTTATTACAGAGTATGATTTATTATAATTTTTCTGGATTGAATTATATAAAAAATAATTTTAATTTATCATTTCAGTGATGTAATGCGTTCACAAGCTGAAGGGTATATTCGTGCATTGCAATGGAATCTTAATTATTATTACAATGGTTGTTGTTCTTGGTCTTGGTACTATCCACATCATTATGCTCCATATATATCTGATATCAAGGACTTTGAAAATCTTAAACTAACATTTGAGCTTGGTCAACCATTTTTACCATTTCAACAACTATTAGCAGTGTTGCCATCATTGAGTAAAGGACTTTTACCAAAACCTTTTCAAGATTTGATGACAGAAGATCTTAGTCCTATTAAGTTATATTATCCTGAAAAGTTTGAAACTGATCTCAATGGCAAACAACATGAGTGGGAAGGAGTTGTACTTATCCCTTTTATTGATGAAGTAAAAATAAAATATTCAAATAATTCAAACAAAATAAAGTCTTAAATTAATTACAAATTAATTTTCGGTTATTTAGGAAGCTTTAATTAAAGCTATGGATATGGTTGAACATAAATTAACCGAAGAAGAGAAAAATAGAAATAAACACGGTCCAATGCATAGTTTTAAATATACTAAAGAAAACCTCGGTATGAGTATTTTATGTATTTACCATGTTTGTTATACACCTGTGTTTGTCTCTTTAAATAACTGAATATTTTTTCTATCCAATTTTTCAAATTTATTAATGAAAGGTTAAATTTGTATTTCTTTTTGGGGATTCAAAATAAAATAAAAAAATATTAACTTTATCTATTATCTAAAATTGCTTTAACAATAATTATGAATTTTCAAATTTTTAAGTAGAATTATTTTAATTTTATCATAATAGAAAGATGTAGGGCAAATATTTATTTTATTGTAGAATTTTGTTAAATATTATGTTTTTTGATTCTAAATCAGTTTAATGTCATCAAATAGTAAATTTTATCTCAAACATTTTTACTATTTTAAACAGAAAAAAAATGTTTTCTCTATTTTCTGATAAGTAAAATTTTTATAAATTCCTAGCAAAGATCTAGTTTCTCCTCAATTCCAACTTCCATTGTTTGTGCAGAATTAATCCTCCGAGACTCATTGAGAGTTTTTTCGTCTGTCTTAAATTAAAAATAATTTTTTCCTAGCCATTTTTCTTTTAAAATTTAATTTTTTACATTTTGTCCTTTGTATTCTTTCAAAAATTGATGTGATATTCAGAACATCCTTTTCGGCCTATATAATACATTTACATGAACAATCCTTTCATTTATTGATATCTCCTCTTCGGATAAAACAAAAGTATTGATAATAAGGACAAACTAAGGGTAGTTAGTAATTTTGTAAAATTGTATAATTGTGTGTAAAATATACAATTTTCAATATTTTGTTTAGGTTTAGTTTCACTTTCAAGATATTTTCCACCAATCAAAGAAAATCATGCTGAAAAAACAGCTATACAGCGTGATGATATTGCTGTTGATATTAATAATCTTGTCAAAGGTTTATGCCCAGGTATAAAAACGGATGTGTATCATGTTGGATTTCCATCACTTCATCTTATTCCAATTTCGGTTAGTTGAAATGTATATTTTAAATTAAATGTTCTTTATCTTCATCATTTTTCTTTATTATAATAGAGTCAATTACAAAGGCGAAATGTAAAAGTATTTCAATCACCTAGTATGGGTGAAAATATGATAATAAAAATCATCAACAAAGATAAAATTGATCAAGATAGCATACAGCATATTGCTAAAGAATTACTTGGAAATACACTTTATGTCAATTGGCCACATCTTGAAGAAATTAAGTGAGTTTTATCTCTATTATACAAACAAGTTTTGATATTTATATCTTCCCTTTAGTCCATATTTTATTTATGTTTCTATGATTATGGGTTCCTTGTTTAGAACAATTACAAAAATATAAATAAAATATTTATTATTATGTTGGTATGAATTTGATAAATATGTTGTTGTTTTTTTAATTTTTTAATCCTCAGATTGGTTAATAACAAAATTACTTCTCTGCGTTTTTCTTAGGTTAGGTTGACTTATACAGACAATGTGTCGACTCCCTTATTTTTTAGTTTGAGTGTAGCAAGAAATTTATTTTTTTTTGTAATGTGTTTTTATTTTTATTTTTTAATATTTTTTTTGTTGTGTACTACTTTGCTACCATAAATCTTACCCCAACCCAAAAGTGACTAGAGATCTTTTTTATAGCATTTAGAATCTAATGTGTGCATTGGGTAGGTTGTTTTTTCAAAGTATTTTGACAATTGAGGAAAAAAATATTGCAATAATGGAAAGATTATAGCGCTGTAGGTTTTTTTAAATATAATTTGCACAAGAATAATAGTGTAAACTTGAAATTTTGACGTGGTCAATTTTTACATCTGGTTTATTAACCCGAAACTTTGAGCAAAGAATGGGAAATGAGACCAAAAAATAACTATGGTTAATGAAAAACAATTTGAGTTTTTATATATGAGTGTAAAACTAAATACAATATGTATATGATGTAGAACAAGAGTCTAATTTTTGTATTTTAAAATTATAGCTAATAAGACTGGTTTAAAATAGAACATCAGTTACTATTTCTAACTGTCTGAAGAAATACTCTTAGAGTATTTCATGATCAATAAACTATTTACAATTAGGGTCCGTGCCTAATGTTGAGTTAGGGACCACTATACTAGAGCTAGGGGGTTCACTTGTTAGCTGTCAGTGTATATTCTATGCGAGGGAAGGGGAGGCCATTGGGCAACCACCATTTTCCATCTAGTTGTGTCTAATGATAGAAATTGTTTATTATTTCTTTAAACGTGTAAATATTTGTCAGGGTTATGTCAGTTTTCAACACAACAGTAAAATTATCATTTAATGAAGAAGAACAATTAATTGTTCGAGAAATGACTGAATCAGATGTAAAAGAGTTTAATTCGCTTTCCCAAGGAATTTCTAAAAAGTTAGTAATATTTTTATTATTATTTTTTACTTATCGTTATACTGATTTACCTTTTTAAATTTATCTATTAAATAGATATATTACAACACGTGGTATTGAAATTGGTAAAACTAGTGTACTAATATCTGGTCAAAGTTTAAGAGGAACTAAGTATGTAGCACGGCAAGATGGAAGCGGAGTTGATCTAATAAAAGTTGTATGTATTATATTATTAAAATATCCATGTTAAGGTTATTATTTTATATTTTTCATTGTTAAATAGTGGAATGAAATACCAACAATAATCGCTTATCAAACAGCTGTGCCCGGTATAGAAATAAATGATTATACTACAAAACCTAGCTATTTTGCTCTGGACGAATATTTTCCTGTGGGAAGCACAGTATTTATACTGGACGCTCCATATTATGGTTGCCAAGCAGATGTGGTTGGAGGTTTTATATCTACACGGGTTAAAGTTAATATAACACTTGAACCAGAACCTATTTTGGAAAGTTTAAAAGAATGTGTTGATTCTGTATCTACAGAACTATATTATGGTAAATATCCAAAGTAATATTGACTTGAATCATTTATACAAAATTGTATTTAAATTTAATATTTTAGCTAATAACGCAGCAGCCAAGCTTTCTATCAATTCACATTTACTTGCTAAAATTACTGGAACAATATTGTTAAATGTTGAAACTCATGAAGACAGAAATGAGAAAAAATTGAATATTGGAATGAATCTTAAATCAAATAAACGAAATGAAGAAGTTAGATTTAATTATTAAATTATATTTTCATGATTTCTTTTAATTTTAAACATATTTAAATTTATTTAAGGTGGTTGGGTTTACAAAAAAATTTGACAATGTTTGGATGTATACTCAAAAAACCATTGATTTATTAAGTGAATATATACAAAGATTTCCAGAAATAATAAAGACTTTGTTAAAATCAGAGAATAAAGATACTTTTAAATCTGAAGAAATGTTTCCAGATTCAAATACTAGGTATTATTTTTTTTTTTAAGTTAAAAATTTAGAAATAAAAGCATTGACTATTATAAAATTATACAAATAGAAACCAAAAATTGGAAGATCTAAAAAAATGGATTGGAGAAATGCGTTTATTGACTAAAGATAAGCAATCTTGTGGATCAATGGAACCATGCAAAGTTATTGCAGTTGAAAAATACATGGATGAATTTAACGAAGAAAACAATATTCACAAAAGAACTGTAACATTAAGTGTAAAATCGCAAAATCTTTTTAAAGTAATTTATTTTTAATTATAGCTATTATTATTTATTAATATTAAATTATTAATTGCAATAATTTATTAGCCTATAGCTAAGCTAGACAAATTGAAAGCTGACGAGGGAGTGGACACACGGATATTGGACCGTGTAGTGTGTGTTCGTTCTTCATATCAAGTTCCCTTGGGTTTCAAAGGCACTGTAATCAGTAAGTACAGATGTGAATAGTTTAAATGAAAACTTTATTTAATTTATATTTTTATGTAGGTATTTCCAAATCAAACATTGATACTGAAGTTTTATACAGCGTAGTATTTGATAAAGAGTTTCCAAATGGTATATCATTTGGAGGAAATACTAATCGTGGATATAAGCTGTGTAAGATGTCATTTATTAACTTGACTAATGCCATTCGTTGTGGACTTTATAAACCATTAGATGTTCATAGAATAACTAATCAATCTTCTCGTACTGAAAAACAGGTAAATAAAGTTTGTTTTAAATAATTAATTTAAAAATGTTTTAAACAAACTTATTAATATGGTTTTAATTTTAATTTTAAGACTACTCAAAGTATATGGGAACATTTACAGGTTAGTATTATATTTAAATGATTATTCTTTTTTAAATTGTATATGTTTATGTTTTAAAAATATGTATCTAAGTAGTCATTTTTCTTGTCTTACTAATGTATCTAGAATTTATTTTCTGCTATTTACTATATACTTCTTTTTTATATAAATCTGATAACATTTTTTTTTTTTTTAAACAGTCCAATACTAATGCACAAGGAATCAAATTTAAGCCTCGAGAAGAAAAAATTACACTGGCGCCAAAAGAATCTTGGCGGCGACAACAAGTACAGTTTTAATGTTTAATTAATTGTTTAAATTATACTAGAAATTATTTTACTTATTTTAGATAGATTCGGATATTATATTAATAGTGTAAATATACAAATTTGCTGTATAAGTGGAAGAAAAGAATTAAACGGCTGATGTGTTACGGTTGTAGGATTTTAGGTGGAAAGTTGAGCTGGTAGGATCCACAAAGTTATTTAATTTTCATATCTGTACACAATGATTAATTAATTCTTTAAATAGTAAAAATGCTATTCTAAGCAAAGTTCAATTAAACATATGTTGAAATGCTGACATTTTTAAGATTTTCATCAAAATTTACAATCCCTATAAATAAAATTACTACACTATGCTAAAAATTAATTTTTTTTTCTGTTCTGCCAAAATAATATTAACTGCATGAATCCATATAAAAACTATAAAAAAAATAATTTGAAAATGTCAAATACTAAAAAACAATTAAATAAATCACCAGAATATTTAAAAAATATATCACATCCAAAAAAGTTTATTATTGGTATTAAGTGGTGAGGTTTATTTCGCTGGCACCCCACTTTTGGATTTTAACAAAAAATCAAGAGCGTTTTATTGTATACATTTCTACTGATCTGTGCCATTAGTTCAGAAATGTGTATTTTAAAACTTTCTGAGGTATAGCCATTTTTTCTTAGGGGTTAATGAGGAAATTGTTAAGTCATCGAGATTTTACTGTATATTAATGTGCATAATATATAATTAAATATACATAAATTGTGAAACACAATGAATTGTTGATTCATTCAACATATTGAAATTCATTTTGGTGCTAACTAACTACTTTTTTGACCAATCAATATAAATGGCACAATGTACTATTTAGCAAGGAAGTAAATTGATGACATTGTAAATTCAATGTATCTAAATTTATTTATTGAAACTATTTATTTATTTATAAGTAATTTATCTTGGTACTTATAGTTTTACATCATAGACTAGTTTTTTCCTAATGCTCTTCTAAACAGCGTAATTGTAAATCATTTGAGTAATTTAGGTCAGTGTTTCCCAACTTATTTTACTCATGAAACCTTTTCAGTAACTTAAATATTTTATGAAACCCCAATTATTATTTTTTTATAACCACATAATGCAGACATTTTTTGAATACTTAAATGAGTGGACAGTCCGAGACTTCTGGCAAAACAGTAAGTATTGTTAACAAAAAAGATAACAGCAGCAAAAATGGTTTTTTAAAGTTTTATTTTGTCAACACCTACCCTATGGCAATATTATTTATGCACATAATCAATGATTATTAATATAAGGCTTAAACTAATATTAATCTTTCATTACCACAAAGATCACAAAGATGAATTTAATGAGGAGATTGGATTCTTTTCGTTAGTTTTCTTCATTATTGTAATCAAATTAGGAGATATTCCTGTAAGTTAGATTCCTAAGTCCGGAACAATATTCAATTGATTTTGAAACTAAATTTTTTTTTTCTTGCCCTTTGGAAAACCAGTTTCACACAAGTATGAAGTAGCAATTGACAATAAAACGGTGACAGCCTTAACAAATAGTTTTTTGTAATCACTTTCCACGACATTCTAGAATTCCTTTAATTATATAAAATAATTATATTGAAAATGTTTACTAATTTAATTTCTCCCATATTCCTTACGACACCCTTGGCACCGATTCACGGAATACCAATTGGGAAACACTGATTTATGTTATAACCTTTATAAATAATTTATTACTAAAGTATATTTTTAAACATAAAAGCAATTTGCACATAGGCTCCTTAAAGTAAATCTAGAATATTTTAAATTTATTTTTAGAGAAGAGAATCACCGATCACCATTGCAAGCTCTAAAGGAGCACATAGAGTTCCACAGACATCTTTGGTAAGTAATTTTTTTTTGTTATGGTTAATATATTTATATAATAATTTTATAAGTCTGATACATTTAAATATTGCATGGCGATTATTTTAATGTTTAATTTTCACATTTAGGAATCGGTTAATATCGACCAACAATTCAGTAATAATTTCAACAAACCGCAGTTGAATGCTGAAGCATGTGTTAGTATTTAACTATAATATATCTAATTATGACCTATGTAAATATTTGTTATATCCCTATTTAGGAATTCAAAACATTAGCATTGAAAAAAATGTTGAAAATTGATCCAGTTGACAATTTAGATTCTTCAGATTCACCAACAGATGTATTATAATATACTTGAGGTTAAATTTATTTTTTTTTAATTTAATTTTAATTTACTTTTAGGATGAACATTTTTCAAATAAATCACTGAATAGTTTATCAGGGAGTTCACTAGGTGAATGGAAAAACACAGATCCTCAATTTTCAAACTACAATACTAATGAACAAGTAGCTGCTAATTTAATGGAAAATCCAGCACAAGCTAAACATGTATATTATAGTTTAATATTTTTAATCTAATACACAATATATTATTTTAATAAATAATCTGGTTTTAGGAAAAACCTTGTATGGTTTTGTCATTGGAAAAGTATTATTTGTCAAAAGGTTATGGTCATCCTAAATATAGTTATATAAATTTGGTAGATGAACAAGGTTTCAAAATGTACTGTGCTGAAGTGATTTTACCAAATGGTGTTACAATACGAGGAGAACCAAGCCACTCTTATGCTGAGGTCTATTCATTTTATATTATTAAATAATAATGTAATACATTTTACAGTTAGAAATTTATTAATCATTATAATTAATGGTGTAGGCATCTGAAGAAGTTGCAGCTCGGGGATATATTATTGTACAGCAAATGGATGCAAACAAAAACATTGAACTCACAGCACAAAATACGACTCCCAATCCAGAAAGAAGACCACCACAACAAGGACCATCTAATGTGTATATGAATTTTGTACCATCTCACCAACGTCCTAATTTTCAACAACTGCATCAGCAACCACAGCTATATCAACACGTGCATCAATATTTTGACCATTCCCAAAACTCATTTCAACAATTTCCATCACTGTATCCACCTGCTTTTCCATTTCCCTCTCAACAACCATATCCGATGCCATTCCAACAAATGTATAGACAGCAAAATCATTTTGGTTATCCAATACAACATCAACCGTATGTATTTTAATTACATAAATTATTTATTTTCTATAATATTTTGTTATTTAAGGTTTTTCAATCATCAACAAGAATTGCAGTATCCTAAATTTGTACCTCTTTGTACAAACTTGATAAATCCATCACAATTACCTCAGCCACCTGTTCATTGGCAACCTATCAACAGAAATGGTATATCAATTTAAATTTTTTATTTTTAAAAAATAAAATGAGTGTTGAGTTTGACTCATTTGAGTTCTGAACATTATTTTTAATAATATTTTTATTTTCAGTTCCAAATAATGCATTTCTAATAAACCCTATTCCAAACACTTATCATCAACCTCAACAAAGTAGTAACCGTCAAAACTATACTGCACCAACAACAAAAGATAATATGTCAACGGTAATAAATAAAACAGTATAGTCAATTTAGTACATTCGATGTAAATATAACATAATTTTTAAGAATGAGCAGTACATGTCAAGTAACAGAGTAATGATTCCAAGTCCTTCGAGCGCATTTTCATCGGCAGCTAATACAAATGACCAGTCCACATCCATTCGTAAAGTAAAAATTGCTGCAAATTTTAATTCTCCACAACAATAAATGCTCGCTCTATAATTAATTTACTAATCCTTTTTTCTTATTCATTCGTAAATTGGAAAATAATTTTAAAGTGCAATATATTTATATTGAATATTTCAGTAATACTCAGTAACAAACTTCTTCCTATCTTTTCCTACCCTGGGACATAAGGTCATTATTGAAATTTAAATCTGTATATGTGTTTTGTGTATATCTAATTTAATAATTTATAATTGATTTATGTGTATATTTTAAAATTAGAACTATAATTTTTGTTTTTTTTTTTTTGATTTTGTATTCCAAAGATAATTTAAGTGTATTATGATAAATATATATCTGTATTATAACTGTAAATATTAAATTTAATATATAAATATGTGAAATAAATAAACATTTGAACAAAATTGTGTTTCAAAGAAACTTTTCATTTATACAAATTTTAGTAGATATACAAAATGGGAATATTAAAAGCAACGACAAATTTCTACAGACAGAAAAAGACAACATAATATATTAATGGACTATACACTAATGGCCACTACATATTACAGGCTTTTTTCAGAATGTAAAAAAAGAAAGTATATAATGTCATATTGATGTTAAAAATTGATTTTGGTCCATAGTTATATTTTATTTTATATTGGTAAATTATATTTTAGTTATATATAGAAAGTTACATGAAAAATTTTTTTGATAAAATAAAGGTTTTTTTTTATGCCATAGTTTATTTGATACTTCCAGTTTTAGGAAAATTAAACTTCTAAAATTACTATTAAGGTCTGTTTACACACAACAGTGACGTGGCAGTGCCATGACCATTCTGAGATCTCACCGGCGAGCTTAATTATATTCTGAAAGGAAGATAAGTTTGTTGTTCTCACTCGTCCTGCGCATGACCATACCATTGCAAGAAGTGCTGTCGCTGTCACCATACCGTAATAGAGAGATCTCTTTCAGACGATATTTTTCTCATTTTACTCCTCATGATCAAAATAGGTGGGCAGGGTTGTTACTAAATACATTGAATATTGATTAAGATTAACTAGTTCAGAGATGCCCTCAGTTTTGTGTATTATATATTAATAAACTTACTTATAGTCTATGTTATGTACACAATTTAGCTAAATAAAGTTTTTGTTGTAAAACAAATTATTTATAGATAGGCATGCAAAAAAAATTCATGTTTGGAGTTGAAGGGTTGTAATTTGTTTTGCATATTTTTAAAAAAATATTAAGCACATCACTGGGCTTCAGTATATAAATTAAATTACCTTACATTATATCCTGTAATTTTCTATCTACAACAGTACCCATTGTACAAAGTATATTTGACTTTTTTTCTGTAAATTTTCAATTTATTTTGAGAATATTTTTATATTCAGAATAATATTAAACAGGAGCGCCATTTGTGAGAGAAGGAAGGGTGTATGATTGTATCCCTTAATTTAATCTAAATTGGTCTGAAAATTCAAATTAAATTGTATTTTATATTAATAAAATTGTTATTTTACTGTTAAATTTTGATTGAAATTTACATGAATTAAATAAATATTATGCTATCAATCAACCCTGCGTTAGTCAGCGTTAGCGTGGTAATTTAAACAAAGACAAGTTCAACTTTTTACAGTCACGCTTGAGAGAGATAACTAAATTGTTAATCATAACAATTGGATTTATCATAAACCATTAGCGATTTATAAGTCTTAACTTAATTTATGCTATAACTTATAGTGGGATAGACAATTCTACAATTGTTGCTTATCCTACTGAACCACAGGTTAAATTATTAGAATCTTAGTTCATTATAGTTCTATAGACTAAACTTAAAAATCACCGATATCCGCTAATTTAAATATCAAACGTTTTTCATTTCTTCTGTCTATTAAGTAATAGGTAGTTACATTTAATAACTTATTGGTTTTCATCACGAATTAAGATATCTTAATTTGTGGTTTTCACAACTAAAATGATCAACGGTATTTATTATCTTTTAAAATTGCCCTTCTATATATGGTTTCAAAGTAGTTGTTGTTGTTCAAAGTAGTGGTTACCATGAGTATTTTTATTTAATTTTGTGAGTATCTTTTAAGTAAAAAAAAAAACAACAATAGTATAGAACAATATTTTTTATTAACTATCTTCTAAAGAATTATTTAATTTAAGAATAATTGATAAAAAAAAATGTTTTAATCCTTTAAATTATACAGTTTATGTAAAATTATAAGACAAAATTCTTTAGAAATTAATAACTTAATGTTTAAAAATTTACCAAAGAAACGCAAAATACGTGTAAGTTAAAAAATCTAATTCAAAGATTGTCATAGTTAAATCGTTAAAATCATTATTAATGCACATCAGTGACTATGGTTGGGCTCACGAAAAGTGAACGCTGGCGAGAGGCGAAAGCATCTCTAGAGGAAATTTTTACACAATAAGTTCAAAGTGGATTCGATTATAAATGTATCTTCCAAATAAAACTCTTTATTCAAATATCTATAAATAGCTTAAAAATAAATCAAATGTTTTAAAAATTTTACCGAGTAAGTATAAGTTTGCTGCACAAATTTCAAGTCTATCCTCCCTCCTCCTAGTGCACCAACTAGACAAAATTACCTTTCAAAAAAGGTGCTCCACGTGATTATTCGGAGCAAAGCCCGCTACACGCCGTATCTAAGAGTGGTACCATGATTAAAAATTGAAATATACCGGGTTGTTGCACTAGTACCCCCACACTGATTTTTTATTACTCATAAAAATTAAAAATGGCAGCGTAAGAACGCTTTTTGATTGGTTTAAACCTTTTTGTAAACATTACCAATTTGTCCGCGCATATTTGAAATGTTGACATAGAATTTAATAATATTATTATTGTTATAAACAATGACTGATATCAATTAACAAGAAAAATATTTGTATAATGTTTGTAATTATCAAAATAATTATTTATAAGATAATAAATAATAATAATACCTACATTGTTTTTAATCGCACGCGTCTATACCAAACCTATCTGTACTGTATTGGGTTGCATGTAATCAGGCCAGGAGATCTTTATAACGATAGATTGGCAATCGGGTTGATTAATCTTAAGCTGTTATAAAAATACTCAGGGTGCATCACATGGAGGCGATCGTATGGCTAAATAGTGCCCAAGTGTCAAAAGTAGACACCCAACTTAATATCACCATGAGACTAATATCTGTTACAATAAAATCGATCCCCACTCATTGGCTCCTAACACCAACAACAATCGCCCTCCCACCACTACGGAAACCGAATGCCTTGATAAAAGAGTTTTGAAAAATAAATCCCAACCACGAAATGCCCATCAACAATTTTATTGACGATGCGGTCAAAAAATGATTGAAGTCTAGAAACTACCCAATAAGGACAGATATGGATTTAACTAACGCTAACTTTGAAATTATGGCCAGCTGGAACCTAACATGGGCTGCCGCAATAAAGAACGACAACCTCCTGTGCACGATATCACTAGGACATACACCCACAGGTTTTGATCTAACACTACGCAAACTGTGGTGCACACTTAATAGAGTCATAACTTATGGTAGATGTGCAGATTCCTTGTACAAATGGGGCTTAGAAAATTCACCAGAATGTGATTGCGGTGAAGACCATTAACCACATCGTTTCTGAATGCTCAAGTCGCTTCTATCAGGGACCTAGAATCGATTATTTTACAATCACATCCACATCTATTGAATGGCTAGAGAAATTTAATCTCCAACTCTTGTTACGAAATATTTTGATTTGATGCCTTAACATATACACTGTTATTCATATTACTATACATTTTATTTTATTTTTATCTTATTTGTATTATGTTACTATATTATCATTATAGCATGTAATCACAAACCATACGCTAAATATATAAATGTACTGTATTCTATTTTAAATTTGTCAAATGGTGAAAAAAATGTGTGCCCGACTACGGGTAAGTGTACAATAGGTACCTAGGTATAAATACTGAAAATATATGAATGTGTATTATATATTAATAATTAGGACTGAGCACTTGAAATTCACAAAAAAACACTTAAAAACGTCAAACAAGCCTGGAAAAAAAAAAAAGAAAACTCTGGATTAATAGTTCGCGCAGCGTTAGAAAATTGCATTTGATAAATAAAAGCCGTTATAGAGGGAACATTCAAACCTTTCCGCGGTTTTTGCTTTTTTAAATATTTTTGAAGTGTTTTTTTTTTTTTTCAGAGCTTTTTTAACGTTTTCGAGGGTTTTTTTGTGGATTTTAAATGCAATAAGTTCCGAGCCATGTACATAATAAATTATGGATATTATTTTGTACTTATCTATATGTAATTAAAACTTATCAGTATACAACTGTATTCAAAGTAATGCCGCAGCTATGCGATGACGCAGTTGACAGTTGTTATCTTTACGCTAATATATAGTACACTACCCTTGCCATTACGATCGCAATAGGTATATTTATTATGTATTTAATATCTATTAATGTTTAGTGTTTTAATTTTAATATTACCTACATAGATATGTACAAAAAAATTATTGGTTACACGCACCTCTACCCATTTGGTTGTATAATTTAACGATATTTGGTCATTATGGAACCGCGCGTTATGTCTGTTAATAACCATAAAAGATAGAACACGGAACGTCATAATATAATAATACAATAAATACCTATAGGTATTAAAAATCCAGGTGCATACTTAATACGTCTAACTTGTTATGAGCACTGCGGAGGTATTGTATACATATATATGTATAGGTATAAAGTATTTTGGTTTGTATTATTCGGATACACCGTTATAACGCATAAGATATAGTAAAGATATAGTTTATTATAATATTATTGTGTGCACCTAATACATATGGTATACGCGCCCTACCCGTAGAATATAAATTTATTTAGGCGTATCCACGTTTTGGATGGTTACAATGACCGTGGCCTTCGGCGTTCCGTCATAATCCATAAACGCGATGTCTAGAGGATAACAATCACAATAATATTTAACACACATATTATCATCCAATAAACGCCTAACCGAATCGCGGTGTTATTACGATCTAAATATTTCAAATTGCATTTCAATTTTTCTCTGAAATACACGTTTTAAGTGGGACATGCCATAATGCAGTGGTTCTATTATGGATCTTGCATATTGTTATGGTCGATTATAACGTAATATACATATTAAATTCGCAATTTTCGCCCAACTACAAATAGAGGGTATAGTGCTTAGAATATCTACTCTCCAGAAAAACAATCATCGTGTTGTTGACTTGTTGCGAAAACGTATAGGTACACCACCGTATTATCTAATAGGGAAACGTGGGGCAAAATGGAGACGCTAAGGTTTTAATAGGAATACATTTTTTATTTCATTTGATATTTTTCTGAAATTACAGTCATATGTTCTTCATATCGTCTTATATAATACCGTTGTCAGTTAACAGCAACAAAATCATTTTTTACTTGGTAAATACTAAAAACTTGAAAAGCTCATTTTGTTTCATTTTGCTTCGTATATGGGGCAAAATGGGATATTCTTTGTAAAATGAATACGAATTTGACAAAACACACATTTTTTGATTCGGTATTTATTTAATAAACTTAAGTTTTCTTATTTCACATTTACAAATAATTTTATGAATAATATGAAGAAAAAAAATAATGTTACAAAGTTGGGAAGGTAGCACAGGAGAAATATAATGTACGCAGCGATTAACCATTGTTAACGAAAAAACGAGTAGAGTTCAGTTGTTAGTGTAGCTTTGTTAACAATATATAATAGGTATGTCATATTATGATAAAATAATAACGTATGCGTTATATATATATATATATTTTTTTTTTAATAATATTTGTTAAGTATTGTACCTATTTTCACGTTTTTCTAGGTTTTTCCCACTTGTTGGGAAAAATGTTCACGGGAAATATTACGTACCAAACGTATAGCATACAAATTATTATAAAATATTATTGATCACTGATCAATAAAATACAAAAAAAAAAAAAAAAATGATTGGAAAAAAAGTTCAATTATCAATTAACTAAAAAAGCTTGCGTATAGGTGCACATTTGTAATATACTTTTAATAATTTCACAATGTACGAGTAATTCCATATTTATTAGTAAACTTACCATTATACTATATTACGACTATTCACAGTAAATCAGTTATTATTATACTTATGGTTGGTTTAATTTTAGACTGTATATAGGTGTATTATATTCTATATACATTTAGTTAGACCAAATAAACCTATATAGGTTTAGTGACCATACTAATGGTCGAGTAATGTCATCTATAACTGTCATCATTATCGGTTGAAGTAATTGTAATTTTAGTTAAACCAATAAATATTTATTTTTTTCCCCCGTCAGCTTACAGATTATAATATTATGATGAACATTGAACACATATCTAATGAAAAAGACTGATAACTGGGGACTCCTTGGAAATCTCGAATTTTCCGCGAACGTTATTCAGTGCAAAGAGGTTCGGTAAACGGCCGCTAGGGAAAACGGGGAAATAATTATTACCGACTGGGTAAAATCTATCTAGTGTGACCAATATGAAAATGGCTGCGCTTTCGCCGGGCAGCTGTCGTGGAGGGTTTGGTAAATAATGGGAACGCGTAAAACAACCGAAAATAAATCAGCTGTGCAGTATTTCAACCGAAAAATATTTAAGTCGAACCGTATTTAAACAGAAAAATATTTAAGTCGAACCGTATTTAAGCAGAAAAATATTTCGCCCGAACCGTATTTAAACCGAAAAATATTTGAGTCGATAATATTTTATCCGAAAATATTACAGCCGACTGTAAAAAAGTGATAAGGTCATATCTTCCAAAACACGATAACGCACGATGAGAAATAAATAAAAAGGCGATAAATTTCGTACATATTATTTTAAAATCAAAAACGAGTTAACCAGATTATAAAAAATAAAATTAATAAATTATACAATTTGCAGAAAATTTACAGGCAGAAAATTTCATAAAATTAAACAGCCTGAATTCATATTTCCCGAAGAATCCATGACCAAATTTACAAAAATGGCTCGAGTTGATGGAGTTTTTTGGTGGTGCAACGTCAATTGGTAGAATTTGCAATGAATTATGATCCAATCGCACGTATATGTCTGGCAAGTAATGGCCAGAATAATACATTTGAAGATGAAATAATTAGTGACGATAATTAAGTATTAAATAATTAGTTACTTTTTTTTTTTTTGGGAGGGGGAAGTAGTTAGTGATAATAATATTAGTTTACAGATTCAAACAGCGGGTAAGTGAAAAACGGTTCTACTCTTCTAACGGTAAACTATACGACTTTAGAGGGCGCGAGAAGTCGAGAAGCACCATAAAAATGCTCGTACATGACATTGCAGGAGAGATGAGTAAAAAATATGCGTCGCAGTCTATTTTTACACAACAGTCGTCGTGCGGACGTGGCTAAGGCATATAATAGGTAATTAATACTATTAACCCCGGCGAATAGTATTTGTAAAAACCGAATAACGAGTCCTATCCATATTTAATTAAGATAGAATATTTCCCAAGGTTCGGCAAGTTAGGTAATGAATAATATTATCTAAGTAAAGTCAATTGAAAGAAACTAACGAGTCGAATCGTTAAGAGCAAATTACTTTTTAGCAAATTAACTAAGTTAAATTAGAAGGTAATTTGAAAATTCAATTAATTTTTGAACTTAATTTTAATTTTTTTTAGTTGAACAATTTGTGTTTCTTAAGTAAAACCGATTAAGTTTGTGATTTTTTTTTTTTTTTGAAAATAAGATTGATCGATGTTAACACTCCCCCTCCCCGGGCCCTCCTAAAATAAACCCAAAATATCGGGACGGAATAAAATAATTTAAATGTACGAAAAATAATAATTATTTATTACGCGACAGTGTACGCCAAAAATGTTTGCCCAAAAACACGGTTTACACGGATTTCGAGCAAGTCCCTTAAAACTTAAAATCAATGACATTTAAATTAACTCGACGTGATAGTATCGTTGAGGTATAATTCGAAATCAATTACATATTCGTTCGTTTGTGTAAAACGAAAATAAGTCAAGTAAATGAAAGACAATAAAAAAAAAAAAAAAAAAATCAAATCAAAAGTTAAAATCAACTCAACTTGTCGGTTATATTGTATATTATGGATGTGATAAACGTTCGACCGCGGTGTTTTCACAGATCCGCGGTCGAGAATACCTACGCACGCCGTTATTCGTAGTTTGTTGCTTTACTAACACATGATAATATTGTATTATTATGTTATGTGTACAGGCGTAATAATAAATAATGCACATGCACGCGTGTCTTGTTTGCGTTCGTGTTTTTGTTTGTACGGGTATAATACGCCAAACAACGAACATATGTTGTTGCGAATTCGTTGTCTAGAGCCGGATACTATTGTTTTCCATTCGCATATCACATGAAAATATTGAAAAATCGTACGCCCCCGCTCGTGTAGAAAAAAAAAAATGTTGACGAACCGACCACGACAAATCGAGCCCAACCGATGGCGTTGGTATTTCACCGATCGAGTATGCAAAACTACGTTCACGGCCACACGCGCGCGCGACAGAAACGGAGGTCGGGGGTTGACTCCTGGCTT